GGATATACACTGACAGTAATAAAGAGCTGCATCGAGTTGCTTTAAAAGAATTTAACGCACCGTTTTCAAGGCGTATGAAAAGGAAGGTCGAGAGAGAGGCACAATTTCTGAAGACTTTGTGTCACCCAAATGTTTTGCGTCTCTATGTCGTTATAGAGGAATCTTCAAAAATAGTCACTSAATATCTTGAAAAAGAAGTAATTATTGAAAATGATAAGGTACAAGTAAACAATTTGCACTGATCTATCCAGCGCACAATTAGATCAATTATTGCAACTCATAGAAAGGTGCTCTAGACACAATCCTGATGAAAGGCCTACTGTTGAAGAAGTAATTTCTCAATTGAGTCAAATTGTTTTTCTGACTCCTTGGATAAAATTGAAATAGTTTATCACAAGATCAAGATGAAGCCCCAAATGTGATTCCCCTTTCTCTTCATCAAGGTTCAGTGATTGAAAACTTCGGTGAAATCTCAGCCTCATTTTCTCAAGAAAACCAACCTTTAATTTCTGACTTGCAAAAGCAAGCAGAGGACAGCGATGGAATAAATGCATGTGCCTTTTTTAGTGTTGCCATCTCTGATTGGCTAGAAGTCAATGGAAGGTCCAGTGTTTTCAATGGCATGAATGACTTGAAACATGCTGTGGAAATTATAATTACAGAGATTCCAAAAAAGATCAACAGCATTAGAGATGTGTCTTCGTTTAATACTATTGAAGAGGCAGTGGAATTAATGAGTGTCAAAATTGTATAATCTTGAAGCTGAGCAAATATTTAATTCTTTTAAAGGTGTGGCATATAAAGAAGGCGAAAAGGCATTACTGGAAATATTCACACAGCTTCATGAAAGGAGGCCAGTGTTTGCAGTTGTAACTTGTTCCCATATTCCTTTTGTCTTGGTTGTCAGGTATCGGACGATGGAAGAAACGTTTTTATATTGGTTGGCACACACAGAATACCTGAAAGACTAGGTGGCAATGGTAATGGCATTATTGTTTACACTGAGTATCCTTCAGATATGTTTAATGATGCTGCCCATAAACTTGCTAAATGGGTTAAAAAGCGATTATTGTATTCAAATGCTGGTGAATCTCTTCTCAGTTTAGCAACTGTGCACAAAAAATCTACCAGTGTCCCTATTAGAACAAGCTCGCCCAAGCGATCGAATAGAAACCATAACTTTAGATGATGATTTGCATTTCTTTGAAGAGGATGAGAACATGCCTAAAGCGGAAACAGATACTGATGCTGAAGCCACAGGTGTGGTTGACAATGATGGAGAGCAATGTAGCTGGGTACTTTACAATAAGCTGAATAAACCTGATGAATCTCAAGAACTGATTTGGAAGGGGCATTTAACACAGTTTGGCCTCACTAAGTTTAGGCCTTTTCAACAGCAAGCCATTCATGCTGTCGAACTTGGGATGGACAGCATAATAATCCAGCCTAGGCCCTGCGCACGATGTTCGTGTACCACTGCGTTACAAAACGTGTAATGCTACGTTTCATGCTGTATTTTCGTTGTAAAACTATCTTTCAACGCAGAAATTCACGAAGCATGGACAACCTAAAAACTTAAATAATAAATTTCTCAAAAACATGCAAATTTTTTTTAATAGAGTGCAATTTTTGAAGTGATGTTAAAAAAGTGCGTTTTTTGGGCCGTTTTTGCAAGGTACCACTTTCTAAACTTTATTGAAAAACTTTGATAAATTTGCATGTANAAAAAATCTACCAGTGTCCCTATTAGAACAAGCTCGCCCAAGCGATCGAATAGAAACCATAACTTTAGATGATGATTTGCATTTCTTTGAAGAGGATGAGAACATGCCTAAAGCGGAAACAGATACTGATGCTGAAGCCACAGGTGTGGTTGACAATGATGGAGAGCAATGTAGCTGGGTACTTTACAATAAGCTGAATAAACCTGATGAATCTCAAGAACTGATTTGGAAGGGGCATTTAACACAGTTTGGCCTCACTAAGTTTAGGCC